CGCACTACCTCCCCCCGCAGCACACACGCCACCCCCACACCCCCCACCCCTTCCCTCCCCGCCGCCGCCACCCCGTCGGCCGTTTCTCTTTTTCTCCCCCAATCCGATCCTACATGCGATCGGCTTTCGGGAATAGCAGTGCTGATGGACGGCCGCTCCCCTGTATGTATCTCCGCCCTGGCCGGCAGCAGCGCTCGTAGGCCACATTTCTCTCTACGGCTGACCAAATGACCATCCTGACGGACAGTCCACGCAAGTAAGTCCACTGGTCGCCGCCTGACCTGCCGAAGCGGCCGAAGCGCGGCACAACCACTGCTACTGCTTCACCCAAGTTTCTCTTCGTCCCCGACTGGCTGAGAGTGGCGCTGCAGCGGCGTGCCGTGGCTGTGTTTGGCACGTTGGACTCCAAGAATGTCGTTTGTTGGGCTGGGCTGTTTCGCGATTGTGTGTGCCGTTCAGTGATTAGAAGGGTGAACGTATCTGGTGAGTAATGAATGGAAAATAGAACAACCATTGTGCAAATTATCTTGTGTTTTGTAGTGTCAGTAGAGTCTTGCCTCGCCATAACCTCATAACAGGTTACCATGAGGTTACGGAACCAGATAGTGCCCGGTCAGTAGTATTTAGTATCCTTATTTGATCGTGTCTCGTCGAATTTCTAAAATAAGCGATTCTTACAACCCTTGATTGGACGCTCAATGTAAATGACTTACACTCTCAGTATATTTATGATGACTACTGAAACACCTGAATCTCAAGGTAGTCCAAGCCTGAACACGTGATGTGGTATCAGACATCTTCGTTTGCCCTTGTGAAATATGTGTTAGTTAATTAGTAATGCTTTGTTGTTTCGCGGCTTTCGATTTCTGCTCTAATTATTGCTACAAAATTTAGGGAACTAGTAACCTATAAATGTAATCACCTCCCATTGCATGCATGTCACTTGGGGTAACTGCATAATAGTACTAAGACACTACGACAAAATGAAATTTCTTAAATCAAAATTTTGACAATTTTGGTGATAATTGATTTAGTAACATTGTTCGATGCAATGCGAATCCAAGAGAGTCTGCTATTTTGGTGCATTGGTAACATGTTGTCGTAATCGAATGTGTACTAGTAAAGTGCACTGCAATTTTGGCTGAGTGCTGTTAAAATTTTTGTGAAGGCTCGCTTCAGCACATGTCTTATTGTTCTTTTTATAATAATGCACTCGTAATGTACTCATCTTTAACTCCATTAATTTGGTTTTCTGCTTTGTCAGGCTGGCTGCAATTTTTCATTTCATGGATACGTTGTAGCTAGAAATCAGCCA